AAGAGGGTCGTGCCAGACCGTTGATGCGTAGTCTACGGCCGGTATCACACAAGCTTGGTATAGCTGCCGCATTTGCTCCGGTCGAAGATGTCGGAGTCCGCTTAGGGCAATAATCCTTTTGGTCGATTGCTTGACGGCCTGTTGCACGTGGTCCTTCCATCGCATCTCTGTATCAAAAACCACCCCCAGGAGTTTGGCGGTGTCCGCTGGTTTGATCACTTTACCATTCATAGTTATCTCGCCCTTGCCACGGGCTGATTTACGCCGTGTCAGGTGGATCAGCTCGGTTTTCTCAGCTGCGAATGACGCGCCTGTTCTCCGTGCCCACTGCTCAATCCGGGGAATGTCCTCTTCCTGGATTCTCTTGATGTTATCCTCCACTGAGGCACTAGTCCGCCACCGGAAATAATCATCGATAAACGCCGAAGCCCCGCCATTGCTGTCGACCGGCTGATCGACCAGGTCTGAATTATAGAATCCAAACAGAATGGGTGAGAGCGGGGATCCCTGCGCTAGCCCTGCATTTTCTAGAGGGGTATTGTCTGATTCGAAGTCATCAAGTGTTATGCTGGCTGATCGACTCGCCATGAAGCTGGAGATCCACTGTTGAGCCTTTGACGGTATCCCCTTCGCTCGCAGGCGCGCGTCGAGAGTAGTCTTACTAACCCCGTTGAAGGCACCTTTCAGGTCAAATGCAATCAGCGTCACTACTCTCAATCGCACCCATGCTCGATCGATCGCGTTCGCGAGCACCAGCAGGGCTTGCTCGGTATTCCGTCCCGGCCTGCCTCCATATTAAGTGTCAGGGAGCAGCTTGTATTTCTCTGCCCAGTACAAGAGTCTTCGGGCCAAAACGGCTTCTAGCAACTTTCCCAGTGTGTTGAGCAAGGAGATCGGGCGATACGCCCCCGGCATGGAGTAATCCGGCTTGCCGGGCTTGCGGAGCACGATAATCCGCGCTTGTTTCCATTCTCTCGGGTAGTATCCCAGGTCCACCGATCTTGTGAAGATAGTGGTGATTATGTCCTTAAGAAATGTCCACAGGTTCTTCCAGACCAGCATGGGGATTCCGTCTCGGCCCGGGGCTGTAGTCCCCTTTGCCACCCGGAGAGACCGGAAGACCTCTTCCTCAGTGATCGCCTCCCATGGCAGTTCTTCGGCCGGGTTGACCTCTTCGCTTTCCGGTTCGGACATCTTCGGAAAGAAGGTTTCAAGAAATGCTTCCGCCTTGCGTTGGTTGTCAGTTATCTCCTCGGCTCCTACTTGGATAGCTGGGATGCTCATATACGCGTCCCGGGGGCGCATGTAGGTGGCTGCTTTCCATATCTGGCCTTCCCCTGCTTTGTCCAGGAACTCTTTCCAGTGGGTTGCTTTTGCTTTTTCCACAGCTCTCGTCCACTTTCTTCTCTTCTCGCGCATTATCTCAAACATGGACTTTGTATTTGGGTGATTAGATCCCAAGGTAGCACATCCATCTTGCCACTTTCTTCGGGCTTGGTTGGCTTCCACCTGCTGAGTCTTAAGTTCGGGAGTGAACCAGCGTTTCGAGTACGGGCATGGCGCCTGTACCGGTACGTGTCGGTCTAGAGCCGCTGTTGTGGTTTGAATCAGCTTTCCTACCGCGCGGTCTAAGTCTCTGTTTGTCCGGATCTTCGGGCACTGGTCTATCTCTCTTAGTATATTTTGCCCCACTCGAGACCAGTCCGCACGGTTGTATGCTCGTTTTGGCTTGGGCTTCTTCGCCTGCTCCGGATGAAGGCTCCATTCCGAGTATGTTGCTCGATGGTCTGATCCGTAGTTTTCATGGTACAAATAGCACTTGACCAGCCGTGTCATATCGTTAGTAAGTGTAAGGTCCAGCACTGAAGTTGTGCCAGGTTTACTGAGGGACCAGAATGTTGTTTCCCCAGGACCCAGGCACCACTGTAGCTCCAGGTGGTGGAAAAAGTTGATTAGTTCGTCCGCGTGCGCTGCAAACCGATGGTGTACTTCGCGGTGGCTCCATACTGGGTGGTGGCGATTGAAATCTCCTGCCAGAATTAGTTTAGTTGTGCGATCGCCTGATTCGCTATTCTGTTGAATAGTCTGTTGGATTTTTGTTAGGACTTAAGAGGCGCTGCTCGCTTCGAAGGCCTCGTGCATCTCGATCGGTGGAATATAGATTGAGAACACCAGGTACTGTAGTTCGGGAGTCCATATTTTGACAGCTACCACATCTCGGTGGTCGCAGTGGACCTGGCGATGGGAAGATGTGGAGATTCTTCGGTTGACATAAACAAGACTGCGCGGCTGTTTTGCCTCGGTACCTGGTTCGTTAATAGCCGTGGGTCGATAGAGTCTCCATGCGCTGTGGTTGACGTGGGTGTTGTATGCCGTTTTTGGTGGTTCCTAGATCAGGAGTATATCTAGATTTTGGGTGGTGTGGTCATTGATAAGGGCCTCCATTCCTGCCCTGGATTTCATCATGTTCAACTGTAAGATACGGAGGTTTGCTGTCATTGAGAAAGCCCGGGGGTTGAGGATGCCTGGCACATCCGGTCGCCTGTCGGGTGTTCTCCATTGCAGTCTGAGCATCGTGGTCTTATGCCGGGGAAGCAGTATCGCTGATCGTGTTGGCCTGCGCAGTACCCGCATTTAACCTGTTCCTTACACGACCATGCTAAATGGCCGAATTGCTGGCACCGCCGGCATCGCTTCTTTTCCACCCGGTAGGCCTCAACGCTCCCGATGAACCTCTGTCCTACCAGCAGTCCGTTGTTGATGATCCATTCGGCGGCCTCGGGTGTATCTAGCCAGATTCCCATGGATGCCGATTTGCCTAGTGGTCTGTCTTTCTTCTTCAGCCATGCAATGTCCTCGATCTGGAACTTCTTGTCCTCGAGGTCGTTTTCGGTCACGATTCTTCTTATTCCTTGTTTCTTTTCGCTGTCCAGATCGAAATCCTCGGTCGGAACCCGGTGGACCACGATCCCAAACCGTGGTTTGACTATTTTGGTATTGTTTCCTAGTTCCTCCAGCCACTCAGTATTGTTCCGAGCGGCCTCTGCGGACTGCGCATCCCGAAATCGGATAATATAGCCGGTTTTGGTGGTACCAACCCCGGCCACTTGGACATCCATGGTAGTCTCTGCGTTCAGGAGGGCAGTGCGGATATGGGTGTTTGCTGCCTCTGTTGGTAGGGCTCTCGAGAATCGCTCGTTATCGACATCCTGGTCTAGGGTCGGTGCGGTGCTGATTCGGACACAGTTGGGTTCCTTTCTGGAGCGTGGGACTGTCTTCTTGGGGTCTGGCAGCGGGTGGCCCGCGGCTACTTCCGCCCACGACCTGCTCAGGGGGGTGTTCGCCGGTTGCGCCTCCAGTCTGACCCGGAGGCTTTGAATTTCTTCTCGCAGCTCCTCATTTTGAATACGGAGAAGCTGTTGTTCCGCTTTCAGGGCTTGCACTTCAGCTCTTGCTGATTCGATTGTCTCTGTTTGGTGCTTAAGTGTCTCGTTAAAGCTGGTGAAGAACTGCCGGACGTCCTGGTTTGTCACTCGTCCATTATTTTCTCCGCAACCTGCGAATTCGGGGTTGGTAATTGGTTCGTTCTCCTCTGCATCAGCGCCTCGTCTGCGGCGTTTCCTTGCTGCTCCGATCTTGGGGCGAAAGTCATATTGGCCGAAAATATTTGGTGTTCCCTGCGAGTTTGTGGGATGGGGTTCGGTAACCCCTGCGGGCGGGATCGCCATCGGGCCGGGATTAGTTTCCACTCGGCACACAATGACAGCTGCCACAACACCACAATTCTCCGCGATACTTTGGTGTGCTTGTACAGATGGTCTCGAAATTGGCTTGACCGACAAACATGTTATAATTGCTTCCGAGTCTGACTGCCAAGATGCTAGTGTCATTATTTTATTGAGCGGGGAGCATTAATGTTATGGGATTGTGTTAATTCAATACAATAGTGTTTCCAGATATAATACCCGTCTCGTACGAAGTACTCTAGTCATAATTAGTAAGAGTCAGTAACTAGTTAAATAGAGCATCGCACTAAAATTCCTCGAATCCCATGGTAGGTAGCACTTGGACAAACCAGACAAACTATGGAACGACCGTGTGAGATTCGGATTAATCAAAATCCGTTCATATTAGTAATGTGGTAGCTAAAAAATCTTTCTTGAGCATAAACCATGCTAGACTATACCCATATGAAAAACTCCCAGGTACACTCTGGGCGGTAAGGGTCATGTTGCCCACCTGAAAGTAAGGTTAGCATACTTTCATCGTCAAAGTTCCTTGTTACTGACAATTCTAACATCCATTCAGATATTTGCAATCTTCTCTTCAATGACCATAGCTTTTACCTACCAATATCATCAATCAGTAAGGCAATATTTATGTAGGAAATAATCACATACACTTATAGCGTCCTTTCGGATATCTACATTCCTCGGACCAATCCCCGCATTGCTTGCCTTCAAGTTGTTAACTCTTCTCAACAGCATGTGCTACTATCTTAGAAGGATGGGAAATACAGTTTTTGCATTTACCCCGTTCTCCTTCCCACGAGCACTTGGAGGTGAGATGAACCACGCTCGCACATATTGCACATCTGACACCATCGAGCCGACATGGGATATCTGCATTATTTTTCTATCAGAAAGTTTGTCATCAAGCCGGATGTTTTCTCCTTACCTAACCTCCAATAGACCTCAGAGGAAGTGGAATTCGTATGCCGCCACTCAAAGCACTATGGACATAGTATTCAGCATCGCGCTCTTGGTTCCTTCCACAAATTCACAAGAAAAGAAGGTATGCGGCCCTTACAGATACGGCATGTATATCGGACAGAGGAATGTTACTCTGAAATTTTTGGGATATTGCCAGGGTAGATACTCCCTACGACGAGTAATTAAAAGACAGTCTTTTCATTGCTATAAAGCTGCTTTCCTCGACAGGCTAATGAAAACGCTGAGCAAGCCATCTGGAGACTCAGAGAACATGGGAAAAAGAGTTATCAAAAAGAACCCAATGCTGTCTGGAATTGACAGCATCGACAATGACAGTCGAGTTCGGGTTTTAGGTATCATTGACAAACTTCGTGAACTCGGAGTTAGCGAGACAGTCTCCCTTCCTCAGGTAAGAGAGCATGAACCCGTATGTAAGCTGTTACTAATGCCATTGAAGCTCGTTGTTGTGGGTGATCAATCGAGCGGCAAATCTTCTCTTCTTGAGGCACTCACCGGGTTATCATTCCCCATAGCCAGTGATCTTTGTACCCGACATGCGACACAAATTGTCCTTCGCCGGTCAAAGCTTGAAGAAGCTGGGGCGAAGATAAGCATCATCCCTGGGCGTGCAGCCCAAGCAGATGAAGAGACGAAAGAACGCCTATTGAGCTTCGAGCGATCACTCTCCTTAGATCAATTTGGAGTGGGTGAATTCACCCGCATTTTTGACGAGGTATGGATAACTCGACAAAAGAAATTAGCAGAGACTGACTGTACAACGTGCAGGCTGCTGAATGCATGCAAGTGCCAGGCCCAACGACAGAAAATCTAGAAAATCTCAAAAAGCGTTTCTCAGATGACATACTAAAGATTGAGCTTTCCGGCCCAGGACAAAAGCATCTTAGCGTTGTTGATGTGCCGGGTCTCTTTCACAGTAAGAAAAGTTTATCTCTTGCCCTTGATCGTTGTATTGAACACTTTCAGATCCAACAAAGTATCAGACAACAGAAGATCGGTTCATCATCCGCAGCTTGATCGAGTCTTATATTACTGACAAGCGGACAATCATTCTGTGAAGTAGCCAACATCCTACAATAGAGATTAAGCTACTAACCTGGGAATAGAGCTGTAATGGATGCTAGAAACAATCTTGCCAACCAAGAGGTGTAAGTTCTGACATTCGAAGACGATATCGAAACTAATGTCTAATTTGGAAAGTTTTTCCATGGCACGCGCTGCTGATCCGGAAGGGATTCGAACTGTCGGTATAATAACCAAGTGCGATGCGTTGGAAGCAGGCGATGAAGAAGGAGTATGTATCTGGACCCGATGCATAAATTTAATATATCTGACAAGCTATGAAGGTCATTCGCATTGCAAAGAACATGGTTGAGCGGCTGCACCATGGCTGGTTCGCTGTCAAGAATCGCTCGACAAAAGATATTCGAGATGGCGTCAGTATTGAGGAGCGCAACATCCGAGAAAAAGAGTTTTTCTCGACCGAAAAGCCCTGGACAGAACTTGCGAGTGACCGTGTTGGCATTGATAATGTCAAAAGTTTTCTCGGGAGATTGCTTTACAACCACATTAAGGGCGAGTTTCCTTCAATGGTCAAGGAGATTGAGGACCAAGCGCAAGAAACACAGGACAATCTCGAATTGCTAGGTCCTTCTCGCCAGACATCTCTTGAACAGCGGAAAGTCTTGCTACGTATCGCACTGACATATCAGAATGATGTCACTGGAGCGCTAAGCGGCAACTACGAACAGGCTCTGTCCGCGGACCGGACCTTGAAGCTTAGACTGCGGATTCGCGAAATAAATGACGAATTCGCGGATGCTATGAACCGCAATGGACACGCAAGGGCATTCCGTACGGTACAAGATGAGGTTGATCAGGAATTTTACCGCCCCGCTGGAAATGGACAAGATGAAAATATCTATGACTGGATACGCATGCTCTATCGCGATTCAAGGGGAGTGGAACTTCCGGGAACCGTGAATCCCATGGTTCTCGAGAATATGTTCCGTCAACAAACCGTACCTTGGGAAGGGCTGGCTCAGCAATACTTCGCCTCAATCTACGAGGTGCTTACTGCGTTCAATCACAAGATATTCGAACTCAAGATTCTCGATGACGACTTGAAGCGGAATCTCATGGCCCGTCTTCGAGAGCTTGAAATGTCGGCTTTCGGGCGTGCTAAAGACTACTTGATGCAAATCCTCCGGGATGAAAGAGAAGGAATACTCCAGACTGTCAATAATTACTTTGCAGAGACTGTTTCTTCCATCCGAGAAGACCGGGTCCGTGCAAGGCTTTCTGAAATGGGTCTTCAAGACAGCAGTTATACCTCGACCACTTTAAACCAGATGATGAGCCGCCTTCATCTGAGCAATGAAGATCAAGCCGTCTATGATATCCATGATACCTTGAAAGCCTACTACAAAGTTGCCTTAAAACGATTCGCAGACAATGTCATTATCCAAGTCACGGAGCGTCATCTTCTTGGACCGCAAGGGCCAGTCAGGATATTATCTCCGGAATGGATTGGCGACTTCTCAGAAGCTGAACTCGCCGATGTTGCAAGCGAGAATTTTGCCACATCATCTTCCCGAAACGAGCAACGAGCCAAGCTTGATAGGTTGCAGCAAGCTTTACACATCGCTCGGCAGGCCGGAATCTGAATTAATGATTTGCTAAGTCATATCGAGAATCATGCCTTCAGCATTGTGTCTCAATTCCGTGTGTTGATTTAACATCATCTGTCTGTGTGCGGAGCACTTCTGTCTCAAGATTCAACATCACTTCTTTCGTCCTGTTCTATGTCAATTCAACACTAATTCTCTATTGCAAACTCTGCCTGCTTCCATGGGAAAACCAATGACCAATCAATGAGTGATCATTTAGCTCATCTAAGTTGGACTTTAACAGACCGGGGAAAGAAACTTGTAGGCTTGGGTAGTAGAAACACCGGATAGTGAGAAGTGAGAATTAATATTCTCAGTCACGCCAGGAACAGAAACATGGTCTGGGGTTAATGCAATTTCTATGCCAAGAACTTTCGTCACCTTATTGCTTACTACAAAATTCTAGTTGCCAGGTCTGTTAGTAGAGGCGCTCCTATCAATCTCTATGATAAAAGAATATGAATTTGTTCTGATGTGTCGCCGGAAGCTTGGTACAGTAAGCAACCGCCTTGGTCCTGCACTGGCTCAATAATGATCGAGCTGTTGTTCGCCCACAAACGACACAGACCTACTCGGATTATCCGTAACGTTGGTACCAATAGGAAAAAAGCAGGTATGAGGCTGAATGTTTTTCTCGTAGTTGTTGGGGACCTGCCAGAGTGATGCCGTGATTCGGTGAGAATGGGGTTGATGCCACATGGCAGATTCGCCAGGAACAGTTGATCCAAGATTTGTCTGATTTGTCCAAGTGTTACCACATATTTTGCGAGAGTCTAGTGCGATGCCTGATCATACTAATCTTACTAATTATGATTTGGATGTCGTATTCGGTAAGAGCTCTGTATTAGATAGAAGGTATCTTACACAAACCCAAAACTTCAATGCGGCCCGCTCAATAAATTAATAACGCTAGCATCTTGGCAGTCAGATTCAGAAAGAACTATGATGTGTTTGTTGGTCAAGCCAATTTCGAGATCCTCTGTATTCAAACGCTTTGCTTGTCATAAAGACTTTCGAACTCAAAGAGCTCCAAGTGAACCTTGGCACTGTGAAGGTTCTCCTTAAGTTCCTCAACAATCCTTTTTCTCATCATGGCAATGACATCAGTGTTGTAGTCCAGAGCTGTTTTCATGACCACTGACCTTGCTGTTGCAAGGACGAAGACACCACAATCATCACTATTATCTTGCCGTGGGGAGACATGATCTCCAATGGTCCATTCCGGACCAGCCCCGCTCTCATACTCTGTGTTCAGCCACTTTTGAATTTGATGAACATGGTTGTCCCCAAGACCGTGAAGGGAGTCATATCTTTGAATTACCCGAGTGCGAGGATGCAGAACAACCAGGGTCCAGTGTTGTGTGGTGCAAATAGGCATGAGAATAATATCAACA